TAAAGAACGGATGTTGTTTGTACGCCAGCAAACATACACTGCAATGCTTTGTTGTACAATGATTCCCGAGTACGTGTTACTGGCCTGGAGTGGTAAAGTGTCCTACCATGAAGGACGCAATAAGGCTGCCCTCCCCAGAAACCTTTTGCAAAGGCTTTGGGAGTACATCCAGGAGAATCGCGAATGCCAAGGCAAAGTAATCCTTTCACATGCTTGCTTTTAAACCATGTATAGTATTTTAAAAGATACACTCACCGGAGGTCCCTTCTCCACCTGCCGGGTCCAGGAAGCAGCCTTGGGTGGGTTCAGGGGGTACTGGCTCCAGGTCCAGGGTGAGAAACAGTTCCTGGCTGTCGGGAAAACCGGTTTCTCCGCTTGCTTGCTGTGAGCTATCTACAACCTCATCATCATCATCTTCGTCCCCAAAACCTGCTTCCGTGTTGCCTCCATCTCCATTGAAGGAGTCAAACAACACGCTGGGGTAGTGGTGGCTGAACCCCCTAAAATGGCATGCAGCTCATCATAGAAGCGGCACGTTTGGGGCTCTGACCCGGAGTGGCCGTTCGCCTCTCTGGTTTTCTGGTAGGCTTTCCTCAGCTCCTTAAGTTTCACGCAGCACTGCTTCGGGTCCCTGTTATGGCCTCTGTCCTTCATGCCCTGGGAGATTTTGACAAAGGTTTTGGCATTTTGAAAACTGGAACAGAGTTCTGATAGCACGGATTCCTCTCCCCAAACAGCGATCAGATCCCGTACCTCCCGTTCGGTCCATGCTGGAGCTCTTTTGCGATTCTGGGACTCCATCATGGTCACCTCTGCTGATGAGCTCTGCATGGTCACCTGCAGCTTGCCATGCTGGCCAAACAGGAAATGAGATTCAAAAGTTCGTGGTTCTTTTCCTGTCTACCTGGCCAGTGCATCTGAGTTGAGAGTGCTGTCCAGAGCGGTCACAATGGAGCACTCTGGGATAGCTCCCGGAGGCCAATACCGTCGAATTGTGTCCACAGTACCCCAAATTCGAGCCGGCAAGGCCGATTTAAGCGCTAATCCACTTGTCAGGGGTGGAGTAAGGAAATCGATTTTAAGAGCCCTTTAAGTCGAAATAAAGGGCTTCATCGTGTGGACGGGTGCAGGTTTACATCGATTTAACACTGCTAAATTCAACCTAAAGTCCTAGTGTAGACCAGGGCCTAGGCTCCTTGCATTGGTGTACAAACATCTTAATTTTTGCTGTTTGGCCTCCCTCACATTCTGTACCCTATTAGGCATGGTCATTCTACAGCCAGTATAACCTATTAGACTGAAATCCACACTGCCCTTCCTCCTTGTATACATTCTCCTACCCACGGCTGTATCCTTTCTTACTTCGTTTTCTTCCCTCACAATGCTAAAATCCAGCGTGGAGGTTACCTGGACATCTCCCAATCATCTCCCGCAAATTCCTAGTTTAAAGCTCTCTTAATCAGTTGTGCCAGCCTCCATCCCAGAAATCTACTTCCTTCCCTACTCAGATGAAGTCCATCCCGAGAGAACTGTCCTCTGTCCATGAATGCCTCCCAGTGGCCATACATCCCAAAGCCCTCTTTATAACACCACTGCCTAAGCCATCTGTTGATAGTCATAATCTTGTCACACCTTTGTTGCCCTTCTCTAGGAACAGGCAGAATCCCACTAAAGATCACCTGAGCCTCAATTTCCTTAAGCGTCTTCCCCAGCCTAGCATAGTCTCCCTTAATACTTTCCAGCGAGAATCTAGCCATATCATTTGTTCCGACATGAAGGATAATTAGGGGATTCTTTCCTGCTCCCTTTAGGATCCTTTTCAACCTCAGGTCTACATCCCGTATTTTAGCACCTGGAAGACAGCACACCCTTCTATTCTCTGGATTAGCTCTGGTTACAGGCCTGTCTATTCTTCTCAACAAAGAGTCCCCGATCATATAGACCTGCCTTTTCCTGGTGACGGTGCTATTCTCCAGTCTATCCCCTGTTCCCTCTGGCTGCAAGTTCTTTCCATTCCTATTCTCCCTTGTAATCCTCTTCAACCCATCCTGTATCCTTCTGGGGTTCATATTTGGTGTAGTCTCCATTGACTCTTCCCCTTTTCCTATAGGACTAGCCGCTCTTCTCGTCTTTCTTGCCTTTCCACCTTCAGTGACTACCTGCTGAGCCCCTTCTTCATTTTCCAACTCTGCAAACCTGTTCTTAAGCTCTTTTTCTCCTTCACTAGCCCGTCTTTTCCTCTGCATGGTTCTTTTAGTCACATGCTTCCACTGACCACTTTCCTCACCCAGTCTCCCCTCAGAATTCCTCAGTCCTGCTTCCATCTGCAAGTCTGAGCTTTTCCCTTCCGAAACCTCATGTCTTTGCTCCATAATCTACTCAAACCCCTTTCTAAACTCAACCAGACTTTGCACCTGCATTTCCAAACCTCGGATCTTTTCCTCCATCAGCTCTATCAGACGGCATTTCGTGCAGACAAAACTCTTACCAGGTACCCCCTCCAGGATCATGTACATATCGCAGCTTCCACATCCAGTCATCTTCATTGTGTCTTCCACTACATGAGTCACTCCTACTTCTGCCTCTGTATCTGTCATAGCCTTCCCACCTAAATCCTGTTAATCTGGGAAACACAAACCACACCAAAACACCACCACCCACAGCAAACTCAAACCCCAAACAAGCACCACAAGACAAACTCCCCTTACAAATTCCCACTGAAACTCCCCTGTTTACAGCTCTGTTTGCTAGCTCCTGTGCCGCTATGCCTCTCACAAAGGTGGAGTTATTAAGGGTACGTCTACACTAGAAATGTAAGTTGACCTATATTAGGTTGACTTAAAGCCACAGCAATAATTACTGCCGTGGTGCATGTCCACACTGCCCTCCTTGGGTCAGTGGTGCGCATCCTCACCAGGGGCGCTTCCGCTGACCTAAGAGGGGCAGTGTGTGGAGCTGAGAGGTGGGTCTCTCAGCTCTGTTGGCAGCTCCCTGCCAGGAGCCCTGCAGCCCCACAGGCTCACAGGCTCCCAGTGGGCTGCCCCCCTTCCACTTGCTGGGAGTGGGGAAAGCCACCCGGGGCTTCTCACCCCCAGAAAGCATGGTCCAGCTGCTCTGGCTCCTCCCACCCAGCCTTCTCCCTGGGGAGCAGGGCAGCATCAGCAATTTCACAGCTTGGTGAGCCATGAAATTGACAAGGCTGCCCAGCTGGCGGGAGGTTGGGGGGGGTGGTAGAGAAACCAGTGGGGCTCCCACCGTGAAATTGACAAGACAGCCAACAGCCAATGTAAGGGACACAGTGTCTAACAGACATTGCATCGCCCTAACTACACCAACATAAGGCTTACGCCTCATGGAGGTGGAGTTATTATGTCAGTGTAGGAGGGCACTTACATGGACAGGAGCAAGGCTGTAATGTAGACACTGAAATAATTAGGTCGACATAAACTGCCTTATGTTGACCTAACTGTGTAGTGTAGATCAGCCCTCAGTTGACATAGCAGGCAAGTTACGACAGCAGGAGGGACCTTGTAGTGTAGACACTGACATTAGGTCAACATAGGCTACCTTACATTGCCCTAACTCTGTAGTGTAGACCAGGCCTCAAAGGTCCTACAGCAGGATCAGTCCTAACACATCTTCTGAATCCATAGCCCAAGGGAGACTCGGTGGGAGGATCTCATAGGCAGGGTCTTCTTGCTTGATCCACATGCTCCCCTAGCAGCTTAGACAAATGACTGTTTGCGTTTCAAACTCTCATGGCCAAATGTTAAAGTGGCAAGAGGTAGGATAGTGCAGTGGTTAGGACACTAGCCTGGGACTTTGGCAACCCTGTATTCAATTGCCTCCTCTACCGGAGGCTTCCAGTGTGACCTTGTTTAAGTCACTTAGTGTCTCTGTGCCTCAACTCCCCACTGGTAAAATGCTGGTACCTCATGGGCTGTTGTAAGGAGAAATCCATTAAAGATTGGGAGGTGCTCAGATACCAGAACCGTAGAAGAACCTTAGAAAAATAAGTGGGGAGGCTTATTTTGAAGTTCTGTAACCCTAAGTTGACATCTTTCACCCAATTTTGTCCCTAGAGTGCGGGTACAGCCTTCCCTACTGTTCTGCTTTCACAAAGCTTCCAGGTGATGGACAGGAGCTGGTTTGAGCTGATCTGTAATAAAAATGAGATGGGATTCTGTGTGTTGGTTGTCTCTCATTGTCTGACAGTCTGGAGGCTCTCAGGTTACAAAACAACAACTCTTGCATGGTTGCTCATAGTTGCAATATCCCTTTAATAAACATTTCCATTGATAGTGCACATATAATTATGAGCCCAGCCCTCCTTGTAGTGAGGCCAATGAGTTTTGCCATCAATTTTAATGAGAGCAGGAGCAAGCCTACTCACATTGACCTTTTAATACATAGTATTACTTTGCTATCAGAAATCATGATGACCAAAAATGATCTAAGATTTACCTACAAAAAATGGGTTAAATTATCATGAGAGTAAAATGAATGGACCCTTCAATATAATCACATAGTGAGTAACAGCATGATCTTATTACTGTAACCCTTGTCACTCCTTGCCCCATCCCCCCGATTGTGTGGTACTGTCATTGGTCATGTCACGTTTAAAATTAGATTGTGAACTCTTTGAGACAGGGATAATTTCCATGTATCCATTCTATAAAGTATGTATGTATAAAGTCTTTGGACTCAAGCATCTTAGAAGCCTTGTGCTGGGCCTCTGCAGAGGAGTGAATTTCACCCTGGGACACACTTATGGGGAGTGTACAAGTAATCAGTAATAACAAGAAGAAAATAAGGAGATGTAAGTGCATTAGCATGAAATCACTGGCTGCTTTTGACCTGTGTCAGCATGTACAAAAGATGATGGACCAAACTCTTAGCTGGTACAAACTGGCAGAGTTCAATTGTCCTCTCAGTTTTCACCAGCTCAGGTATAATAAATAAAATAAAATAAAGCTCATACAACTGCCTTCTTTTTTCAGCCTGGCAGCAAAAATGGAATAGAAGAGAACATCCCAACAGACCTGCACAGGCAGAAGCGACGGGGTATGTTAACACCTGCGTTACAGCAGGTTTCCTTTAGGTAGCAGGGGAACAGGTCTCTTGGGTCATTCCTAGACATAGCGAGTGGCAATGTGAATCACTGTGGTGCAAACCTGTGGCCAATCAAAGATGAAAGTGTCTGAACACATTTTACTATGTAGCTCCTCCCCTGAGGAATGGCTTATGCCACCTCCCTTTTCTATCCTTGGTCACTTGGTGTATATCTCCACTGCACACTAAGGGCATGTCTACGCTACAGCCCTAAGTCGACCTATGTTCAGTTAACTTTCAGCCACCACACTAATTAATTTATATCCACATTCCCCTCCTCATGTCGGTGGGCGTGTCCACATCAGGAGCGCGTCCACCAACTGAAGAGAGGCAGTGTGGGGGGACTGAGAGCTCTTCATGTAGCTCCTCGCCTGAAGCCCAGCTGCCACCTTGGCTCTTGGCTCAGTGAAGCCTCTCATTAGCTCTTGTTGAATAGACAGCACAGGTGCTAGTCTGGAAGTCTTCAGTTATTATCATAAACCCTAACACATCCATCCTTTTTCTTTTCAGTAGCTGCACTTGGCTTTTCTCCTGTGGACTACAAGGTTGACATTGAGATCATTTCTACAGATTCATCTCTCTTGGAATCCCTCAAAGATTATTTCAAGAATCTTAGTTTTCCAGTCATAATAAACACCTCAGATGCAGCAATGAACATTTCAAGCCTCAATATTACTACAGGTGAGTAGGTCTTTTGATGTCCTGCACGATGCAGTGGCTTGTCAATAATTCTATTGCCTTCACATTTTCACATAGCGATCAGTGAACACGTAACGCCGACAGACTCCACTTGTCAGCGGGCAGGATTAAACCTGAGACCGTTGAAGCTTAGCATATGAGCCTCTACTGCATGAACTAAAAGCCATATGGCTCTTAGCTAGCTAAGGCTGTAGTAGACTCATCAATCTCTAGCAGGGCTAGGTGCCACTAGAGGGGGACAGAGCCTAGCTTACAAATCCAGAGCTGTCTCTGTTACCTACTGAGTGGGAAGGACCCAGCAAGACAGAAAAATTCATAGATAACAGCACTTTCTGGTCTTTGCATTCCACACCTCTCCTTCTTACAAAACACTGATATTAGGAGAGGCCTGAATGCTTCTCTGTGCCGAAGGAAGGGAGGGAGCCTGAGAAACCCTCTGCTAAAATGTTCTGCTATGGCTTTATTACCACAATAATAATAGCAGTCTGATTTACTTTTATGTTTCAGGAAGCTGCAGCGCTGATTTTCAAAGTGTTTACTTTCTTCTAATGACATTTGGAATGTAAATCACTCTAAGAGGCTATGCTTTGTCCCTAGCATGTGGACACACACTTCATGGGCTAATTTTCTTTCTGATGTAATTCCAAAGGACATTATTAAAGGGCAAAGAATTGAAGAACCTTTATTTTTCCACTTGTTGTTATACAAAATTGCAGCTATATAGTATTCTGAATAGTTAAAATATGAAACAATATATAAACACCACATGTATTTACAAAAGTTCAGGACCTGTTTTTTTTTTTATTTAAATCGCTGATCCAGGAGCAGTGGAAGGATGTGCGTACTGGTTCTAAACACGTGTGTTCATCTTGCCAAGTGTTTCTTGTCTGTGAGCTAGTTTATTCAAAACATTTTGTCAATACTTCATGCTATGTCATTGAAAGTTAACTTTGATTTAGCAGCCAGTGTCTCATAAACAGTAAGAAAATGGGTTTATGCTGTTTGAAAACTAGGACTTAAAGATTTTAGATGATATGAAGTATATGTGTCAACAGCATTTTTCTGATAGTGCCCTTTGAAATGACATTGCATTCTAAAGTTCAAGATAGCAATCAGAATGGGGTCATTTTATGGTTCAGTCTCACTCGAAACAAACACTGCAACACGTAATTGAAACCAGTTTTGATGCTATGCGGTGTTTGCTTTTAGCCCAGTAGTTTATGAAATCTCTGACTGCAATATCCTTGCTATCATAGATCAGCAGGGCTATTTCAACACTCTGATCCAAGACTAAACACAAGAAACCCAAGAGATTGGAACAGGGTAATTTTCAGTCCATGCTCTATATTTAAAAAAAAACTCTTAGGCCTGGTCTACACTAGAGGGGAGGAGCGATCTAAGTTATGCAAATTCAGCCACGTGAATAACGTAGCTGAAGTCAATGTTCTTAGATCTACTCACCGTGGTGTCTTCACTGCAGTGAGTCGAGAGCTGATGCTCTCCCGTCGACTCCGCCTGCGCCTCTCGCTCCGGTGGAGTACCGGAGTCGACAGGAGAGCGCTCGGCGGTCAATTTATCATGTCTAGACTAGACGCGATAAATCAACCCCTGCTGGATCGATCGCTGCCCGCCTATCCAGCGGGTAGTATAGACAAGCCCTTAGAGTAATGAATCAAACTTAGCCCCTAATGAGAGTATCACCACCTCTTATTTAGCTGCTCATGATTCATATAACAGGATTCTCAGGGCATTAGATACTCAGGCTTCTATCTTGCTAGTGAACATCTAAGATGCACAGCATATTGTATAAACTTTTGCATACACATCCAGTAGGGTAAATATACTTAAGGGAAAAATATTATGAAAAATATTATGAATAATGCATCATTACCACAGACTTTCTATTTTATACTAGTATGCAGTCTCATCAGTAATAATGAGACCCATTGTTCTTGTGAAAGTGGGTACGGATGGCCAGCTGCAGTGTGCAGTGCCAAGTCAATCTGTCCTGGTACCGTCCCAACACAAGAGGAGATCTGTGACTGTATCACAGAGTTGCCTTCTCAAGGACCCTATTGTCAGCTTCAGCCTGGAGGTAAGTTGCGCTTAGTAGCATATGGTATGAAATTTAATCAGGAGAGAGAGTGATCTTTACACATCAGTGGGGCTGGCTAAAATGTGACTCATGGACCAAGCACAATACTTTGGGGACTACTGTAGCTGTTATTTTTAATAGGAAAGTGTTTCCTGCGAATTACATGTCCTAGCATGCAAAGCTCCAAGTGGCCCCATTCAGATCATGGTGCAATCTTGCCAACACTCATGATTTTATCATGAATCTCAGGCTCTTTAGTGACAGATTTTAGAGGGGTAGCCATGTTAGTCTGTATCAGTAAAAACAACGAGGACTTCTTGTGGCACCTTAGAGACTAACACATTTATTTGGGCATGAAGCAGGTTATATCCCACGAAAGCTTATGCCCAAATAAATTTGCTAGTCTCTAAGGTGCCACAAGGACTCTTCATTCTTTTTAGGCTATTTAGTGTTTTTTTTATAGTTCCAGCTTCTTGCAGCAGGTAGATTATGTGGTAATGTCAGCTTTCATTACAAAAAGTAAATTTGTAGTCCTTGTGGTTACAGAGGAAAGCTTGAAAATGAGACCAGAGTGTGCCCTAAATGCTCAAAAAACCCAGAAGGCAAACAAGAAGAACCCAATGTTTATCTATAAATATATCAGCGGGATAAATACCGGAGAGGGAGAGGAATTATTTAAGCTCAGTACCAATGTGGACACGAACAAATGGATATAAACTGGCCATTGGGAAGTTTAGACTTGAAATTAGACAAACATTTCTAACTATCAGAGGAGTGAAGTTCTGGAATAGCCTTCCAAGGGAAGCAGTGGGGGCAAAAGACCTATCTGGCTTTAAGATTAAACTCAATAAGTTTATGGAGGAGATGGTATGATGGGATAACATGATTTTGGCAATTAACTGATCTTTAAATATTCATGGTAAATAGGCCCAATGGCCTGTGATGGGATGTTAGATGGGGCGGGATCTGAGTTACTACAGAAAATTCTTCCTTTGGTATCTGGCTGGTGAATCTTGCCATATGCTCAGGGTTCACCTGATCGCCACATTTGGGGTCGGGAAGGAATTTTCCTCCAGGGCAGATTGGAAGAGACCCTGGAGGTTTTTTGCCTTCCTCTGTAGCATGGGCACGGGTCACTTGCTGGAGGATTCTCTGCTCCTTGAAGTCTTTAAACCACGACTTGAGGACTTCAATAGTTCAGACATAGGTGAGAGGTTTTTCGCAGGAGTGGGTGGGTGAGATTCTGTGGCCTGCGTTGTGCAGGAGGTCAGACTAGATGATCATAATGGTCCCTTCTGACCTAAATATCTATGAATCTATGAATCTTTTTCAATTTCATGATTTGTAAGCCAATCTCATCTCCAGATCCAGAATAACCCCAAAGTTTGGAAATGTTCAGATCCAGGGTGTGGTTCAATCCCTTATGAAAACAGGAGCTATTTGAGATATATGGAGCTATATCTAAGGGCTTGTCTATGTGGGACATTACTGTACTGCAAGCCAAGGTGTAAATCTACAGTGTGCCAGCTTGCCCTACTTCTCATGTGTATACTGCTACAGCACACTACAAACCCTGGAGGACACGTTGACTTACTATGCTTTACACGTCGTAGTAGCCAAAGTGCATCTCAGTGCACTGTAGCAGTGTCCACACAAGACATTGCTATACAGCAAGCTAATGTGCGGTAGCTTCACACCCAAGCTTGCTATGCGGAAACATCCCATGTAGACAATCCATAGGTCTGAATTTCAAACATTCCAAAGGTTCAGATGTGTCTGGATCCAGAGTTCTGTTTGGGGCAGACCTCACTTTGAAAGAATTTGATTGTGAATATTTTCTTGTTCAAAGTAGTTTTGTTTTCTTGCTGCAGGCATTGCTACCATCACATTAAAATTATCAGTCAGACTTGGTGTAGTTTTCCAGGATACTCTCAAGAATTCCTCTTCTGAACTGTATAAGACATACGAAAAAGACTTGGAGAATGCAGTACGTCTTTGGCTTTTAAAAACAATCTAATTTGCAGAACCATTGTCTATACAATCTGTGGGCTGTTCATGTCCAAATGAGTGTGGGTTGCTTGTGGGATGAGTGATGGGAACATCTTTCGTAGGTAGGTGGGAAAGAAGGAAGACACTACTGCACTGGTTGATGCTAAGGGAGTTCACAACAAATCTGTAAGATGTACAAAAGACCAGCAATCAGGGAACATACTCCGGCTTTGGTCAGACATAATAATAGTGAAACCTAGCTCTTATCCGACCCTTTTCATCTGTAGATCTCAGAGCACTTCACAAAGGAGGTCAGAGTCATTATGACCATTTTACAGATAGGGAAACTGAAGCATACAGAGATGAGGCGTCTTGGCCAAAGTCACACAGAAGCAGAGCTAGGAATAGAAATTAGGTCTCCTGAAACCTAGTCCAGTGTTCTATCAGCTAAGCCACTCTATCTGCCCTTGACATATGTATGGTGACTGGTAATGGATGACAGCGCCTTTCACATTTGATGTATTCTGCTGGTTTGGATGATCCCTAGCTTGGTCCAGTGGCAGAGACGAGGGCCAAGTCCCAATGTCCCAATCCAGAATAACACAAAGTTTGAAAGAGTTCAGAGCCAGGGCTTTCTTCCAACCCCTTATGAAGACAAAGGCCATTTGAAACATTCAGCTCCAAATCCGCATTTGCATTTCAAACAACCCAATGGTTTGGGTGTGTTTGGATCCAGAGTTTTATTTGGTGCAGGGACTGAATGTTGTTTAGTGGCTTATAGAAGTCAGTTAATGGTCTCTCATCGGGGAGGCCCATGTCTCCACCTCTGTGCTGCTAGTTTTAGGCATGGCAGCATGGGTAAAGCTCATAGGCACCGACTCTGTGGGTGCTCTGGGGCTGGAGCACCCATGGAAAAAACAGTGGGTGCTCAGCACACACCAGCAGTCCCCCGATCAGCTCCTCCCTCCAGCGCCTCCCACCCACCAGCGGCCCTGCTGATCAGCACTCCCCCCTCCCTCCCAGTGCCTCTCGCCCGCTGCTGTCAGCTGTTCAGTGGCATGCAGGAGGCGCTGGGGGGAGAAGGAGGCGTGAGAGTGGGGCGCTCTCAGGGGAGGGGACGGAATGGGGCAAAGCAGGGCTGGGAAGAGGTGGGGCCAGGTGGGGGCTTGTGGGAAGGGGTGGAGTGCAGGGGCTGGGGCAGAGCGGGGGGTTGAGCACACCCCCCCTTCCCCCTCCCCGCAGCTTAGAAAGACAGCGCTTCTGGTAAAGCTAGCAGGTGTGCCTACCAAAGCTGCAGTCATGTCTCGGATTGCCGTGTAGAAATATCCGAAGTCAGCACTGAGCCAGTGCCCCGGCATGGTGCAAGGAAACACTGCACAGCCAGAGGTGCCACCTTCCAGAAGAGAGATAAAATGGAGGTCCCAGTGAATGAAAGGTCTAATGAAACTTTTCACAAGAGTAGAACTATTAATTCGAGTCAAATTCCAGTCTGGGCAGGTACCTTCAGCCTCCCTACAATGGTGGCCTACAGTTTCAGTTGGAGAAGTTGCTCTTCCCTTCTCCTCCTGAAAAGCTTAGTATAGTGTTGCTGGTGCCAAGTGATGGCATTTAATAGAATGTCAAATTATTCGTATAGGGCCAGGAAGCACGGCCCAGTGATTAGGGCACTATCCTGAACCGGGCTTCAAGTCCCTGCTCTTCCACAGACTGCCTGTGTGACCTTGGGCAAGTCACTTAGCACCTGATTTTTTAAAGGTATTTAGGCTCCTAAAAATGCAGCTAGGCACCTGGTGTGATTTTCAGAAGCACTTAGGTGCCCAATTCCCATTGAAATCAGTACTTTTGGAAAGACCATTAGGCACCTATCTGCACCTTGAGGAACCTAAATACCTGTAAAGGTCTGGCCTTTAGCTTCTCTGTGCCTCAGTTTCCTGTCTGTCCAATGGAGATAATAGCACTTGCTACCTCCTGGGGTCGCTCTGAGGATAAATACATTAAAGACTCTGATACGACAGTAATGCAGGCCGCATAAACACATAAGGCAGATAGAGAAGGCCGGTTCCTGCTCCCATTGGGAATCTATGGCAAAATTCCTATCGACTTCATTTATGTAGATCTACAATAAAGTGGTTATAGGGATCTTTCAGGATAACGGGGACTAAAAATGTCAGATTATTTGTCCTCATGCTAATCTCCATCACAGAGTGTAAGTGAAAAGAGTCTCGGGCCCACTGTATCAGAGCTTACATTCCGCGTTCCTATTTGCTGAAATCAAGCCCGCTCTTCAGTTACCAACGAATGACTTCCAGCAAAAATGTCCAGAGGGTTCACATGGCACAATATATTTCTTCCTTTTCAGTTTACAGCTAGCTACAAATCTTTGCCTGGCTTCGTATCAGCAAGAGTCACCAGTTTCAGGTAAGGAAACCGCCTTTGGGTTGTTTTTCTTTTTCAGAAGATGTGAGCCCTTCTTTCTTCTTGTTGTTTTTCCCCCTTTCAGGAGACACAAAACGAGGCATAGGAATGAGATGGCCCACAGTTACTGTGGTTGGAATCCATACACAGCATTGGGATAATAGTATGACAGGCCCACTAAAACACAAACAAATGGAATTCCCCTAAATGAGTGTGAATATGAAGCATTGTGGGTGAAATTCATCCCTGTGCGTATGTCTGTGCAGCACTTTTAGCTCTCAAAATAGGGCCAAATTCATCCATACAGTGCCAGGTATTAGTACATTCTTGAATCAAAACTCTTTTTTAAATTCTTGGCTCTGTTTAGGGCTGGAAGTGTTATTGTGGACTATGAGATCAAAGCTGCCCCAGCAACAGTCTCCCAAATCAAAAGTGCCAGCAGAAACATTCAACACTCGCTAGATGCATCATATATGTTAATCCCTGATTCATTAGAAATAACAGGTAAGATTTAAGCTCTATTATGCATGCTATGAATTTGCTTTAAAGTTTGTGAACAATCGTTTGTAATACAAACAATAACAGTAACAACCATTTGTAGAGCTGCCTAACACTACTGAACACTTGAGACCAGACTTTCAAAACAGCTCAGCTCCCATGGAGGAAATGAACGAGCCAGTTGTCCTACACTGTGCTGCATCGCATCTCCTATTGACAACAAGAACCCTGTCACCACAGCAATGAAGCCCAAGCTAGCCTCTCCCAGAGAGATAAATTGAACATTGTATTGTTCATTGCAAGGGATCAATGAGGCAAGACGTTACAAACCAAGGCCCATCGGAATTGAGGCTGCTCAACATCTCAGGCCCCAAGCACCTGTCCACTCTTTGCACATTGCAAATCTCACAGCTCCTGTAATGAGAGCTGAGGTTTGCACTAGTGTTCTTGACTAGAATTTCCACTCTGCTGTTGGGCAGCGTGTTATGCACCAGTCATCTGCATAGCTGATGCCCTGCACCCCAGAGGTGGCTGCATATCATTGACACCGAATGTGTATAATTTGTGAAATGCTTTGAGATGGGAGGCACTAGGTAAATGTCAGCTGAAGTAATAAAATAAATAAATAAATACTACTACAGGTTTCTCTTTGCCTTTCCAGGTCAAACCAACGTCTCTGTGTCCCCTGAGGACATTTTCCAGGGGGATACAGTAATAATGAATTGTAAGACATGGGTGGATACAGGGAACGTGACCTGGTATCATTCTGGACATGAAATCTTGAATAGCATCCGGCATTCAATACGTACAATAACTATAGAAGAAATTACAAAGTCAGTTCTGGAAATTACCAGTGTTACACAGCATGATACTGGTACGATTGTGTCCCTCTTGCAAAATCTGTATATGGAAGTGTATTGTTTACAATAGGCAAAGGAACAAAGAAGAATGCAATGATTCTATTTATTTAAAACAGAAGGGCAAATGCACCTTTCCCCCCATCATTTTCCTATGACTTTCTTTAATGAATTAGCTTCTGAATGGTGATGCCAGCAGAGTGCATTTATTATATTATAATAAAAAGTAACAGCTTAGAGTTCCATAGCAAATTAAATTGTTAATGTTTGGAGACCCCTTTGAAAAGAGGTGATATATTAGAGCTCAGTATTAAGGAGCCAGGTAACATGGACTGGACTGGGAGGTTAGGTCTAGTGGGTGAATAGCTGAATCTATTTTTCATTGCTTTAGGGGATTAAGGCAGAATGAGTTCTCAGCAGTAATATTGTATTTCCTTTACAGGTCCTTATACTTGTGTTTTCATGAGCAGCAGTGCGGACTACTCATTGTCATTTAAAGAAACACAAAATATAACAGTAGCTCCAATAAACGTTGTACAATCAGGAGACACTGAAGTTGTATGTGACGGTACCAAAGTAACGCTGAGCTGCTGCGTTGATGGAAATATACAATACTTTACTACTAACTGGAGACCAAATAGAGCAACAAATATTTTGGGTAAGACAGAAAATATTCAGTCTCACATACTATGGGCCAGTTTTTTCCTAAATCTCTCCTCCTAATTTGCAGCTAAAAAGAGGCACATGCAGCTGTTTCATGCACAGAAGGGCCATATCCTCGGGGACTCCCCAGATGCTTAGACCACAAGTCAGCGGGTGCTGTGCCAAGCCAAGATGAAGTTCCCACTTGCATTGTCTTAGTGCCACTGTAGCCATTGCTGTGCACTGTTAGAGCCGCGTGAGGGCTGCTCTAACTTCTGCCACCCCATAACTGCCACAGAGAGCTGGAAACCTATCCCAGGATCAGTGCAGCCTGCTGATATCTAGTCATCTTTCAGAAAGTGCATCTCCCCCTTTTCCTGCTTTGTTGACAGCAAGGTGGGTATGAGGTGTAGAAGTCCCTTTATTGGTTGTCCACAACTTCAGGGTCACCCTTATACTGAGAGTACCTTCCATGGGCCATGTACTCAGCTTTGGCAAGCAAACGGTGTGGCACAAAACAGCTGCAGCACAGCTAAAGATTGGGGCCAAAACCCCACATGCAAGTGTGAACTGTCCTGTGCAAAATGAATCATGCTTGGTATTAAAGTTCCATTTCAAATGGATTTATAAATAATGAATAGACGTGTATAGCATAAACATGCTACAGACACCAGCAGAACATGGTATAGATTTGTATAAGCACATCAGTAGGTGGTGTTATAAATGGTTGTAAGTCTTAAGCAACCAGTTGCCCTTTTGGACTCTATAACAACCTATAGCAAAGGAGTAACCATTTATTAAAACACCTATTAATCATTTACTAGCCTTTTATTAACTGTATAGAAATGGAACTTTAATATGAAGTATGACGGCAAACTAAGTAACTGTAAATGCACAAAGGTACATAAGAACATCCATACTGGGTCAGACCAAAGGTCCATCTGACCCAGTATCCTGTCTTCTGACAGTGGCTAATGCCAGGTGCCCCAGAGGGAATGAACAGAACAGTGATCATCAAGTGATCCATTCCCTGTCGCCCATTCCCAGCTTCTGGCAAACAGAGACTAGGGACACCATCCCTGTCCATCCTGCCTAATAGCCACTGATGAACCTATCCTCCATGAACTAAACTAGTTCTTTTTTGAACCCTGTTATAGTCTTGGCCTTCACAACATCCTCTGGCAAGGAGTTCCACCGGTTGACTATGTATTGTATGAAAAATACTTCCTTTTGTTTGTTTTAAACCTGCTGCCTATTAATTTCATTTGGTGACCCCTAGTTCTTGTGTTATGAGAAGGACTAAATAACACTTCCTTATTTACTTTCTCCACACCAGTCATGATTTTATAGACATCTATCATCTCCTCCCTTAGTCGTCTTTTTTCCAAGCTGAAAAGTCCCAGTCTTATTAATCTCTCCTCATATGGCAGACGGTCCATACCCCTACTCATTATTGGTTGCAATTTTCTGAACCTTTTCCAATTCCAATGTATCTTTTTTGAGATGGGGTGACCACATCTCCATGCACTATTCAAGATGTGGGCATACCATGGATTTATATAGAGGCAATATAATATATTCTGTCTTATTATCCATCCCTTTCGTAATGATTCCCAACATTCTGTTAGCTTTTTTGACTGCCGCTGCACATTGAGTGGATGTTTTCAGAGAACTATCCACAGTGATTCCAAGATCTCTTTCTTGAATGGTAACAGCTAATTTAGACCCTATCATTTTATATGTATAGTTGGAAGCATGTGGACAAGGGGATCCAGTGGATATAGTGTATTTAGATTTTCAGAAAGCCTTTGACAAGGTCCCTCACCAAAGGCTATTAAGCAAAGTAAGCAGTCATGAGATAAGAAGGAAGGACCTCTCATGGATTTGGAACTGGTTAAAAGATAGGAAACAAAGGGTAGGAATAAATGGTCAGTTTTCAGAATGGAGAGAGGTAAATAGTGGTGTCCCCCTGGGGTCTACACTGGGCCCAGTCTTGTTGACCTCCTCAAAGAATTGCACTTGGACCCAGGGATTTATGCGCTTGTGAATTACTCAGACATACAGAGTGAAATCCTGGCCCACTGAAGTCAATGGGACTTTTGCCTTTGACTTCTGTGGGGTCAGGATTTCGACCATGAGTTTTGCCTGCACAATAGATGCGCACTCAGATTCTGTGTATGTGATTTAGACAGGCAGTTTTGGTAAATTTGCCCCATTATGTCTAACCCTCTTCTCTTGACATCCAAAATACAGTTACAGGGTGGCCCTTAAAAATGTTAGTTTCCCCTAAGATAAATAGATGAGTTTAATATTTGCAGTATCTCTTTGTACTTTCCACTGCTTACTGTAAGAAACACCTTGAATCTGCCAATACTGAGAGTATCTGACTCCAAATACTTCTCTCAGGCCTGAATCTGAAACCGTTATTCACAGTGACTTGTCCTCACTCACCCAAACAGTGCTATTGGACTCAGTGGGATTACTCGTGGGAGTATGTGCTGCTCAGCATGAGTAAGGATTGTAGAACTGGGCCAATGGGTGTCTTAGGTAATTGGCAAGTATTAAGAGCCACCTCCATATGGCCACTTTGGCCCAATCCTGAAGTCCTTACGAGGCCACTGTGAGTTTTGCCCAAGTAAAGGCTGAATGTGGACTTCAGGGTGCGTAAGTTTACAATGTCTCACTGTCAAAACTTGTGCCTACACCTAGGGTTTGCATAGGTAGGACAAGTCCTGTATCTACAGGCTTTACTTGTGGTTGAGGTAGACTGACAGCTCTGGGATTGTTTATTTCAATACAGGAACCGTCAGTTTCACTCCAAACTGTACTGAGTACACTCTCCAAGCCAATCAGTCTCAGTGCCCAAACAAGTCTGACCCTGAGATAACGTACATGTGTGATCTGAGCACAGGGCACGGCGCCCTCAGAAGCAAAGCCATCAAAGTGACGTATTTACGAGTAGGTAAGGAGCCTTTGCAGAATGCTGATAGAATCTGATTGCACATTGCTGAGTGTAAGTGCCTTGGGCAGGGACTGTGTCTCTGTTCTCTCCATATGGCACCCTGCCTACCTATTGGGCCACATGCAAATGACAAATAACAATAATGTGTCATTTATCTTATATTTTTCAGCAAATGTAGAAATATCTTCAAACACAAAAGCTCAAGTTTCTCAGGGACACAGTTTTTCTCTAACATGCACCAGCAAAGTGAGCAATTGCAATAATGTCACCTGGCAAATCCAGTCTCAAATTATAGACTCGGGACTGTACCTCTGTAACTTGGAATCCCCAAGCAATGTGAGGTCCGTGCTCACAGTGAAGGCTGCCACTCAGGCCTGGAATGGTAAGTGAAGGCGTCGCATCACTGTGTGTTTCGGTCAGAATGACAAGATGGGTGACATTACCAATCATTTGAAAATTAGAACTTCACCTAAGTCCCCATCCTGCAAGACACTTAAACCCATGCACAGCTTTGATCACACAAGTGCTCCCATTGAAATCAATAGAACAGGGGTTAGAACTTGGCATCTCCCAGGTGGATGCCTTAACCAGCAGGCTATATTGTCAGTCTCATGGTCTGTCTCCGGCACAATTAATATTTAAGTATTTCATACAAAGTGGAACAGCTTCAAGAAGAGAGATGGAGAGAACCAACCCCAGAGGTTAGGACGCTCAACTGAGAGGTAGGAGACCTGGGTCCAAGTTCCTCCTCCAAAGCAGGCAGAGTGGGGATTAGAATCTGTCTTTCACATCCTTCATGAGTACTCCAGCTATTGCATATAAAGGGAGCACCACCAGCTCCTTCTCCAGCTGTGTTTTGAGCAGTGCACAATCCAGTAGGCATCTACTAACCTGGCTGTTGTGCTTGAGTGTTTGCAGGGATGCTCCTGATCTGGGTCGTTGTTTTACCTTTCCTGCTCGGTGTCTTTAGCAATCCTTTTTGATCTATCTCCATAGCAAGTAAGCCTCCATAAACAACCACACAGAGACATATACCATATTCATAAAAATGTCATGCAGCTATTTTACCATTCATCACATCACAGTCTGCATTCCGTGGCTTTCAACTGAGGCCTAGTTTTGTTTCATTGCTTTCAGGCACCTATACTTGCACGTTCTTTCAGAAGTTTTTGTCAAGTTCTGCTAGTACAACAGTTGAGATTGTTCCTCTGCCTCTGAAGCAGAATATTGTACGGGATCCCATTCAAGGATTTATCCAATGCAATGTACCTCAGATCCTAAAGTGCTGCATAAATGGAATGGAAAACTATGTTGTTATGTTCACAGTCCGACAAATGGAATTTAAGGGTGGTAAGGAAGTTGACACTTTACTCTGAAAATAGTATTGAATGTGTGGATAATTGTGGACATCCCCCCTTAAGATTCATTTCTTCTATGATGCCCACAATTAGTGAGCAAATAATTATAAGTATTTTTTTAAAATGTGCAGTCTCATTACTGTAATCTGGCCTCTTCTTATCCTTGTTCTTTATTCCCCTTAATCATTACATCATGTCTAATTTGGGATTGTCACCATTTTGAACCCAAGATTTCTCTGTTCATGCCATAGTGCAGGTCGCACACTCTCACAATTTAGTCTTAAAAGGTCTGACCCTAATTCTATTGGAGTTAATGGAAGTTTTGCCATTTACTTCCATGAGTGTAGGATCAAATCAAAAATGTGGTTATGTTAAAGTTCTACAGCAGGAATCGGCAACCTTTGGCACGCAGCTCATCAGGGTAATCCGCTGGTGGGCCACGAGACATTTTGTTTACATAGACTGTCCACAGGCCCTGCCCCCCGCCGCAGCTCCCAGTGGTCGCAGTTCACCGTTCCTGGCCAATGGGAGCTGCGGGAAGTGGTGGGCCACAGGGATTCTGCCTTTACTCTGTACCAGTGACTTTCATATCAGGTTTCATCAGTTTGCCAACATTTTCTAGCCATTTATTTTATTTTACATTCAAAATTTAGGATCATATTTTTCATGTGGGTCCATGTAACTGGATGCATAGCTATGATTCAGGTTGATATGATAGCCATCCCCAAGCATTTAAAATGCGTAAACTCCAAGGAAAGAGACATCGTTAAGGGTGGCTCAAGTGTGTAGGGGTAATAGCCATGAAACTAAGCAAAAGCATATTTAAGATGAGTAAGAGGAAACATTTCCTGTTAGTAATGTCTACTAGACGATGGAACAGCCTCTCAAAGCTAGTGGTGAAAACTCCACAAACCAAACCATGGGACAAAACTTTCAAGAATACAATGTAAGGAACTATCCCATATTCACCAAGCATATGGACGAAAGGACTTTTCCAGTGTAAATGTCTGTGGTTCTAGGTCTTTGAATTTAGTGCAGTTATACATTCTACCAATTATTTAGCACATTGTGTACAGTCGAAGTTCCCGAGTGGCTCAAAAAATTAACAAATATCATGAGATTAGAAAAGAGAGAGGAATAACCATCTAATTATGCAGATACAGAGCATCCTGTTTGCATCAGTCAGCAATTGCCATGAATTTGTACTCTGCTTGTAGCTAAAATAAGCAAGAACAGAAATGTAATAAAGTCAAAGGTTTAATTAATTTGACTAAAAATATTCCCAGAAATTACATACACCCTCAGCAATTCAGCTAAACAGTTATTGGAGACTGACATTTAGATTAATTTAGCATCGCTGTGGATAGGCTCTGAGGGGAATTGCATCTAACCTTCCTTGACTAGAAGACTGCTAAAGGATACAATGTGCTGGCCTGAGGTTTCTGGGAGGGCATGTAAAGCAGGAGGAGACTGTGGGTGGGGGATCATTAGGCTTGTGAGTAGGATGCAGAGAACAACACAGGAGAGGTTACTGTTGAAGACCCTTGGGATGACTGAAAGATAAACTGAGAACAGTGCAGAACCTGAGAGTCACCAGATGAAGAGTTAAAAACCTAACCTAAACTGAAAGGCTTCAGCAGAAGCAGGGAGAGCAGAAATGAAAGAGGTGCACTAAAGTGGCTACCCCTGCCACTGTTGCTGCACCATAAAGGACTTTGGGGGAAAGTTGCTCTCATAGTGGAAGCCCAGAAGGATGCTTAAACTATATGTCTCAGTCTGTAAACAGAAGAGACAACATAAGAAGGTAGCAAGGAATGAGCATAAGCAGCAGAAGATCATGAGCTCCAACAGTAGGAGACAATCCTTAGAAGGGCTGAGAGAGCTGTTCTTTAAGAGGCTGAGAAAGGAGGTTTTCACAAGCACTTCCTGTTCTACTCTAGCTACAGAACCAAACTATTGCATTCACGGGAAGTGGGTGAACCTGCCCCCCCTTCAGGGAGGCTAGTCCCCAGGCCCTGCCCTTTCTGCCCGAAGCCCCACCTGCCAGAGCCCTGACCACACACGTGCCTCCACCCCCACATGGGGCTGGAGGAGCCCCAGCTGGCCCAACCCCCGGGCTGGCCCGAGCCATCTCTGGCCACCACAGCCCTTGGCCACCAGCCTGATCCCCGAGCTCCAGGCCACCAACTGGAACTGAACCCCCGCCAGCTTCAGGGGAGAGGGGGAAGTGAGATCAGGGTCTCGGGATGGAGCATGGGTGGGGCCACGGCCTGGGTTAGGGGAGGCTTAGCCTCCACTGGCCTTCAATACCTGCTGCCCATGATTACATTAACACACCTAAAATCTTTCTTTGTAGTGAGAAAAACACAAGGAAACCAAGTGTGCTACACATACAATTACACAGAAAGGTGCAACCCGCCGTCAGATGTCGTAGCATATTGTACCTTTGTTAACCGCATTCAAGATAAGGTCAAAAGTTTACCTATGAACCTAAGTATTATACCAGGTAAGAAGAAATCTTGGTAATTATATACAGCAATTGCATGTATAATCCTGACGTATTTGCCAAATCAAAGGACATGTATTGTATCAGTGAGGTTTCTTAAATGCAGCAGCATGTGCTTTGGTTAAATCTGGTTGGTAATTTTCTATCTAAATGGTTTTTGATAGAAAATATGGTTGTCATAAGAAAATGTCAATTTTGCTGAAATTTTGAAAACCAAAACAAGGTGTTTTGTTTTGGCTCAGTTTCACATTGATCTCTGCAGCCATCTGAGCTGCCTTGGTGCCTCATAGGAATTATAGCTCTGGTGCTTCACGCCCCCAATATTCCCCACAGGCTGGACTCCCTGGCTAGACTACATCACCCATGATGCATCATGGTCATGGGACTCCCATGATGCACCACAGCAGCTCACCCAGAAGGACACACGTAGGAAATGTAGTCTGGCCTAGGAGCCCAGCCTATACAGGAGAATGGTGACTTGAGATACCAAAATTACAACTCGCAGCAGGTCAGGCAGACACAGATTAATGTTAACCTGAAATAAACTTTCAACATTTCCAAATCGAGTTTTTATGCAATTTTTTGTTTGACAGAAAGTTTTGATATTTTGAATTTTTATTCTCATTTGGAACGTAAGCAAATGTTGACATATGGACTTTCCCCTGGGATGGAAATTCCATTGTTTGATCAGCTGTAGCTGCACTGCCTACCACTAAACCTGTGCATTACAGTAGAAATTTCAGTCCCCTCTTCTTCTGTTAATATAGCATGTATTTAAACAGCTTTCGAGGAAGACTGTGAACACTGACTCACACTGGTGAATAGTTACTCACACAAGTGATCCTATCAAAGTCAATGAGACTATTTGTGAGAGTAACTGCTTCCCAGTGCGAGTAAAAGGTTCACAATCAAGCCCTTATTACTATTTATGGTTTGTGTTCCGGTAGCATTTAGACACCATCATCAGCTAGATGTTGTACAAACACATATTCAGAAATGTTCTCCTCCCCAGACAAATTTTAAAAATTGGGGGTTTGGATGATTATTCAAACCTTCTAAACTTTCAGGAGTCTGCAAAATTGGGCTGGAAATTCAAAAGATGTGTTTTTCCATAAGACTTTTGGTACTTCCTACTTTCATTTGAGCTAGAAATACTTCATCACCAGTAAAGTTTGCAGCTGACACAAAAATTGGGGAGTGGTAAATAATGAAGAGGACAGGTCACTGATATAGACTTGTGATCTGGATCTCTTGGTAAACTGGGCACAAGCAAACAATGTGCATTTTAACATGGCTAAATGTGATCTTGCAACAAAGAATATAGGCCAAGTTTGCATGATGGCAAGCAGAGACTCTGAAAAAGATGTGTGCAGTCACAGTGGATAATCAGCTGAACATGAGCTCCCAGTGAAATGCTGTAGCCAAAAGGGTTAATGCAATCCTTGGATGCATAAACAGGGGACTCATGAGTAGGAGTAGAGAGGTTATTTTACCTCTGTATTTGGCACTGGTGCAACAGCTGCTGGAATACTGAGTCCGGTTCTGGTGTCCACTATTCAGGAAGGATGTTGATAAATTGGAGAGGGTTCAGAGAAGAGCCACGAGAATGATTGAGGGATTGTAACACATGCCTTATAGTTCTGGACAGATTCCAGAAGCTCAGTCTATTTAGTTTAGCAAAGAGAAGGCTAAGAGATGACTTGATTACAGTCTATCAGAACCTACATGGGGTTCAAATATAATGTAGCAGAGAAAAGTATAACATGACCCAATGGTGGGAAGGTGCAGCTAGACAAATTCAGACTGGAAATAAGGTGTAAATTTTTAACCGTGAGAATAATTAACCACTGGAAGAACTGAGCAAGGGTCCTGGTGGATCCTCCATCACTGACATTTTTAGATTAAAATCAGATGTTTTTCTAAAAGATATACTCCAGGAATTATTTTGAGAAAGTTCTGTGGCCGGTGTTCTACAGGAGGCCAGACTAGATGATCACGATTGTCGCTTCTGGCCTTGAAATCTATGAGAACTGTTGAATTTCAGCTCTTCCATTTCTGCTCCCACCTGGAACCCACAAGTGCTGAGGTACATGAAAATGAAAATAAAATAAATTAATAACATGAGTGGATCGGGTCCTAAACCAAATCTTGCTGAACCTCAGAAAAACTTCTGTTCAGGCTTCAGAAGAAAGGTTGGAGAGATTCACCCATCCTTGTGATTTATTCTTATCCACTACAACAGCAAATCTTTGCATGCTTTTGCAGGCAAACAGCTTCCCAAAACTTATATCTAAGGGTGGGTTATAATTAAGGATAAACCCAAACCAAAATGCTGTATCCAAACACCTCTTAAGTTGGGATAGGTCAGCTGTGGATACAAACATTTCAAACCTGAGCCCATGTCTGCTAATAAATTTGTCCTTGCTTGCACAGTGCTTTGAAAATTGTGTGATTGTTTTAGGAAGAAGGATGATCTTGTGGTTAAGGTCCTAGGTCTAGGTTGAAGATCTTGGCTCTATTTTCATTTTTGCCACAGGAGTCTTGTAAATTACCTTGGGTAAATTACTCAATGCTGATTTTTCCATCCTGGAGATAAGACAACTTTTCTGCCTCTCAAGCTTTGCAAGGTTTCATTCATTAATGCTTGTGAGGCATGCAGATACAACACTACAGTGAGGAATGCTAGGGAAATATGTATGTACATCCATATATATATAAATATATATATATGTATCCAGAAGGAAAATTATCTGTAATAAGGAAAATACAGAGAAATTAGAGAATTCTATTCCCTGTCATCCATTTATTTCTTTTTCTTAATACAGAAAATAAAGTTACATGCTCAAACAGCATTGGTGTGGGACAGCAAGGAGCACAGATAATAAAACCATGCCCAGACTCTAAAGATGTGAATGGCACGAGCAGCCCTGTCAGAGGGACTATAATCTATGTGTGTAACAACACCAACTGGGAAGTTGCTAGAAAGAGCTGCATATCTGACCGAATAAACACACTGCTCAGTAGTGCTGAGGTAACAACTTTGTGTTCCTCTCATGTTTTTTTCAGTAGTTTTAAATAAAGACTAGAAGGTGCTTTCAACTTGTTTCTATTGCTCAAAATGCTTTACCCATTTAAAAAGACATTCAATACTGGAAAAATGCAACTGTTCAATTAAAAGTTCTTTTAAAGCTAGGTAATAAACCCCCTGTTCCATGGGCTACGGGGAGTTATGAGTGCGGCAGAGTAATTGCAGTGCTTATCAAGCCAACCGAAGGAACAGGGTTGTGAGGCACTGAAAATTCTATTACAGTCTAAAGCAAAGAAAATCTCACTCCCCCACTCTCCACACACCCTTAGCTTGCAGGGTCCACTGTTCTCTGACAACCTCTCGAAACACACACACAAATAAATTATAGAGTCTGAGCGCTGTTGTTGTAGATACACTTTTTGTGCTTGTTTCCCTAGTAAATATAAGGGGGTAGTGCAAATATGTGATGCTGAATAAGGGGTCACCAACCTGAAAACATTGGCTTAGTCTGCATGATACTTACTTACTGTGCAGACATTACTGTCCAGCTCTCTCACTAGCATTCCTCACTCAGGACAGCACTTAAGTGTGTGCTTAAAAGTATGCATGTGTTTAAGTCCCACTGAAGTCAATGAGACTTAAGCACATCCTTAGAGGTAAGCATGTGTTTAAGTGCTGTCCTGAATCAAGGCTTTATCCCATGCTCATCATCACAATGTGTGTGCTATATCACACATAACCAACCTTGGGACCATAAGCACAGGCTTCTACCACTTGCCTTAAAGGTGAATAACCCTTAGCTGTTAGACGTAGTAGGGCTTTTGTCTACCGTAGGTGAGTGTATATAGTACACATACCATGACTAGCTCTGAAGGGAGCATTCATGGCACTCCACAGCCAGAGGGAGGGTCACCACAACACAGAGCCTTCACAGGAAGCGAGGAGGGAAATGAGGACCAAGTCAAGCCTCTCTCCAGAGCTGTCCAATACTAGCACAACATTTGCTTCTTGCCTCTGGTTCTCCTGTAGCACTGTCGGTGAGCATCGTTGGCTTGCAACTCCCATGAGCATGCTTCATATTTCAATGGCCGGATGGTGACCACGACTCTGTCCTGCCATAGCCTTTACACTGCTCAATAACGGTGGCCCTCTATTTGCAGACACACCCCACGCATATGGCATCGCTTCACAGGTAGCTCCAGAGCACAAGCCATCCCTTGCTGTCAGCTAGTCCCCGGCTTGGAATAATTCCCACAGCATGGTGCCTGGCTGAGCAGTTGGTAGGACCACTCCCATTTTTGCTTTTGTCATAACCCCCTTTCTAATCTGCACTGTCCATTGGATACAACAACAGTCCTGCTGCTGCATCCTTTGTCTTCCCTTCTAGAAATCACCTGCAGCCACCATATTCCTCGTTCAACTAGACCAGTGCAGGAGTTACACGTCTTTCCCCATGGACTCATTGTGTATCTTGACTGAAGGTGCATTGCATATATGTAACATCGTGTTTAATTTCCATTCTAGTCTTTAGTGTCTGGTCCCCAGCCAGCAGAACAGCTAGCCACATATCTTGAGACTCTTCATAATATTACAATAAAGGAACAACAAGAAATAAACAATTCATCTGCAAACCTGGGGGCAGTAATTACCATTCTGGATTTGGTTTCAACCATCCCAACAGATGCAGATCCACACACAATGACAGTAAGTTACAGTTAAGCCGTATAGAAGCTGATTGGCTCTTTGGCCTTTGCATCAGATGGGAATATACTCCCTGATTGGTTAGTACGTGGATTAGGGAGGAGTTGAGGGAATGATAAGGTAAGAGGAAATAAGAACAAAGATACAGATGAAGGCAAGATTATGAAAGGCCTTGAAGGTGAGGACCAGGAGCTTTGCTTTTACATGAAAGGATTTATGAAAGGGTGACATGTTTGGAACAACAGATTATTATCTGTACAGCATCTAGAAGTGTGCTAGGAACTTTACAGAACATAGAAGACAGTCTCTGCCACAGAGCTTCTGGTCTTCATTTTAGACATGATACATAAGTGAGTCTGATAAATAGTAGGGATAGTGGAGAAAAGGAGGAGTACAGAGGTTACGGTGGTATGGTCACAGAGTTACTCAAATCAAGATGGTTCCCCTAGAGTTATAAAGGAAGGACTTGGGATATTGTTTCTTTAATAAATTATGGTGTTTATAGAGAGGTTATGAGTTATCTGGGGCGTGAGTGAAACCGAGATGATGGAAACGGGGGAGGCAGCTGAGGTGAAGAGCATGTGTGAATGGCAGAGGTGGGTGTTGAGGAATGACAGGTTAGGAGCAGGTACGGGAAAAATGAAGCAGATAAATGTGGAGGGGTTGTGATCAGGCAAGGGAAACGAATTGGCAATAAAACAGGTGAAGTGCAAGAGATGAACAAGGAATAGTCAGGAAGTGGAGTTAGAGAGGACAGGGCTGATTTTTAGTAATAGATCTAGCTGGAAGAAATGGCAAGTTTCAACAAGAGACTTGCTGATTTACACCAGCTAAATGGACTGGATGTTTGAGCAGCAGGCAGACTGGAGTCAGAGATAACACAGAGGATGCAAACCTGGGAGCCAGGACTGGAGCCAGGCAAAAGTGTAGCAGTATTAGAAGGAAAGATGAGCACCTCTGCTTTCAGTGACCCTGACTGGAGACGGGACATCCTGGGGGAAAGGTCTGAGGGATTGCTTGAGACTGGGCAAAAGGAGAGAGGCCAGGCTAGAAAGATAAATTTCAGATGTTATTATTGATAGTAGCAATGATCGTAAAGAACTTAATACCAGATGTTTGTCTTTATTACAGAATTTCCTCTCTACAGTGGACATTATTGTCAACAGTTCCACAATACCTGCCTGGAAAGATCTGAACAATCAGCAGACAGAGAAAAGTTCTCTGTTACTGAAATCAGTGGAGAGATTTTCCCGGTCCCTCCAGCCAGCTAATAATATCATTCCTTCTATCACCAACACCAACCTTCAGCTGCAAGGTATCATTATCACAGAAAATAGCATGTTGGACTATAATAAGAACTTTACTTTCCCCAGTTCAGCAAACCTCAGCGGTAATGTGCTAATTAGAAGAAATGAAACTGAGAACTTGAAACCAAACTCGACCATCATCACCGTGGCTTTCTCAACCCTCAAAGATATTCTGCCCAAGCCCAACGAGACAGGTAAGGTTGTGAATGGTTTGGTGATGACGACAACAACAACGAACAGCACGCTCTCTCCGGACTTCCAGATCTCTCTGACATTTGCCAAAAGCAATTCTTCCCTGGAAAAGCCCCAGTGTGTCTTTTGGAACTTCTCTCTCTCTGGTAATGCAGGAGAATGGGATGACACCGGTTGTCACCTGAAGGATGAAGGAGACAATATCATTTGCACCTGCAGTCACTTGACTTCGTTCTCAATTCTGATGTCGCCCAACCTGAAGCTGACCCATCCTGGAACCCCACTAGATTACATTACCTACATCGGCCTGAGCATTTCCATAGCGAGCTTGATGATCTGCATATTAATTGAATCCCTGGTATGGAAATATGTGACCAAAAACAGAACCTCCTACATGCGTCACGTCTGTATATTGAACATAGCTGTGTCTCTTCTGATTGCAGACATCTGGTTCATTGTCACTGCCTCCCTACAAGACACAAATAAGCTAGTGAATGGGAATGTCTGCATAGCTGCCACCTTTTTCATCCACTTGTTCTACCTCAGTGTCTTTTTCTGGATGCTTGCCCTGGGCCTCATGATCTTCTATCGCCTGGTCTTCATTTTACATGACACTAGCAAGACCATCCAGAAAGCTGTAGCATTCTCTTTGGGATATGGGTCCCCTCTTATTATATCAGTCATCACCATAGCTGTCACTCAACCGCATGATGGTTACAGAAGGGAAAATGCCTGCTGGCTCAACTGGGAGAAAAGCAAAGCTCTCCTTGCCTTCGTTGTACCCGCGCTGATCATTGTGGCTGTGAATTCAATCATTGCGGTTGTAATCCTAGTCAGAATACTAAGGCCTGCCATTGGAGAGAAGCCAAGCAAGCAGGAGAGGAGCTCCTTGATTCAAGCCATCAAAAATGTTGCCACTCTGACGCCACTATTAGGCCTTACCTGGGGATTTGGACTCGCAACCCTTAGCAAAGACAGCTCAATAGTATTCCATATACTATTTACTCTCCTCAATGCTTTCCAAGTGAGTATCATGTATGCACTGCTTTATTTTTCATGACCACTTAACACAGACTCATAGAAAAAGAAGACAGGAAGGACTAAAGATGCTCATGCTCCTGAAGTTACAGGAAATAGATTGTGTTTCTTACTGACTGGTCACAGATGCAGGTGACACCCCTACTCCCAAGGTCTCTGCCAATAAGTTGTGAGGCAATTCTTTCCCCAAATTGCGCAAACAGCTGTACTTTGTGCATGGGATCAAGATTCACTATGGTGAAGGATGTATTCCCATTTATTACACAGCCTGAGATACCATCAGATTCTGTCTCCTCCAGTGTTATTTTAGCAGGTTATCACTTCCAAATAATTAGGGATTGTAGGACAGCAGTCCAAGTCTAAGGCATCAAAGACACAATAAATTGATGAGCAATACTAATAATTGCTCATCAATTTATAATAATAATAAGTGGGAAGTAAACAACTGAAATGGACCAACCCTGTTTTCTGCCAATCATGAGCTAAGATTTTTACTTGCAGAATGAGTTCTAACAGTTAATGAAGTAACCTGGCAGTATGGACTCCTGGGTTCTAGTCCTCTCTCTGCTTTTCATTCTGCCCAGGGCTTTCAGGTTCTATAGCTCCATGGCATCCCATCAGGCAGACGGCTCTAGAGCTGGAACCATATTCCCTTTCACTGAGAATGTTGAAATTTTTGGTTTCTTTGCAGATGAGAAAAACACCCAACAAATTCTGAAATATCAAATTCTCCATAAAATGGAATTACCTTTCTCTACCCAGCTCTGTTAACAAATAATAATTCACATGTGTAAACCACTCAGGTTTCCTGGGTGAAATGCTTTATAAAATTGAAAATAACTATCAGAATTATTGTGTCACTAAGGTGCAGGTCTGGGGGGAAAAGGAAACATTTGGAAAAGATATTTGAGGGGGGAGGGTCCATTTTTTTGCCCGGTATGGAAAAATTGTCAATTTTGGGGGGACAATTGAAAAGGAACTGTTATATGAAACATTTCAGTGAAATAATTTGTAGAGTAATGTTAAAATAATGTTACTGCTGCCCTTCTTGCCTTCAAAATATTTTCTAATAATAACTAATAAGTATTTTACATGAACAAAATGTTTCTCTAGGCAAAAAAATGCACCTAAGTACCTAAGTGTACAGCTGCAGCTCATCCCTAATGCTAGATGTATTTGTTCTTATTATCTGAATCAAAACAATAAACTGTATACTTCTTTATTTCATCAGTATACCAAACAGTAATTTTTATAGGCTAACTAAATTATACATAATACGTTTCTCATTCTTAAAGAAGTCAATCAAGTTTAGTTTTGGTAAGCAAGTAACTACTGCAGATATTTCAATTTTTCACAAAATTTCATTTCTTTTCTGAAACAAAAAGAGAAAAAAATGCTTTTTTTCCCCCCGTCTTCTAAATTGTACATGCCTAGTCACTTTGCATATTAGTTTTTGATAGCAACATGTTAACCACACGGTAACAGCCTGGAAAAGAATGGTAGTTAATATTGTGGAAACACTGAATAAGCACTACTGCATTATAGAACAGGGCATTTAACTGCTCGCCATCTTCTCATGCAGTACCAAGGAACAATGGGATGATTTAAAGACACAATGACATCCATAACCTGGAAATTCCTTGTCTGTGTTGGTTTGTGTCACCTCTGTGAGCTGAACTATTATTGCTATCTATATTACAGCAATGCCTAGAGACCTCAAACAAGATCAAGACCTCATTGTGCTAGGTTCTTTACAAACATATAGCAAGAAACGGTTCCTGCCCTAAAGAGCTTATGATTTAAATAGTCAAGACAGACAAATGGTGTAGGGGAATGCTCTAGTGTGGTTGAATGTGGACAAATGCATATATTGTTTATATTTAAATATCATATTTTTATAGGGATTATTCATTCTGGTGTTTGGAACTCTCCGGGACAAGAAGGTAAGAATTCAGATAATGTCTTACACCTGATACAAAGATATGCTTATTATTTGAATTGACTGCATGGATTTACTGATTTACTTTGTTTGCAAACCACAGGTATTAGAAGCCTTGCTGAACAAATATTCATTTACAAGATGGAGTATGCAGCAAACAAAGGTTAATCCTCTCTAAGAACGGATTTCATAGTTACTTTATTAATACTCTGCAGTGCCTCAGATGTATTTTTAATCAATGTTAATCATTAATCATATTTTATATTCCTACTTATTTACTAGAACTACTCAAAAAAGAAAAGAGCTGGGAGAAATTAATTATTATTTTTTTTAAATCTCCTCCTTTTTTCAAAATTCAAAATATTTTGATCTATAGTTGGTCAAAAATGTGGGAGGTGGAGTTACGTAAATTTAATCAATATTTTTACTTTTAAAAATTATATTCAAAATTTCTTTGAAACTTTGAAATTTGGTTGATATTTTTGAAATTCAAAACATTTCAACCAGCTCTACTATTGACACACACACAGGACCACAGAAACAAATGGGGTGCCTGATTCTGGGGGGAGTGCCCACTGACTACAAACAGGAAGGGATAGAAAGCCACTTGCTTCTGGGCATAAGACAGCTTCAAAGGGCACGTGTTAGCGGGGCTCGTATTAGCATGCTAAAAACAGCTGTGTGGATGTTGCTTTGACAGTGCAGCTCAGGCTGGAGCTCAGGTTCTCGTGCCCACCCCTTCCAACCTCCTCCCCTTCAAGCTTGAGAGCCTTTGCTCCAGCCCAAGCTGTGAGGTCTACAGAACTATGAGAACCCCACTAGCATGAATCTGTGTGCCTGGGCTGGGAGGCTCACTCCCAGATGCAATGTAGACATGCCCTGACTATTGGGGGTCGGGAGGGACTTCCTCTGGAGGCAGGTTTATCCCATAATTTCCTACTGCAGGGTTTCCTCCACTTCTCTCTGTACCATCTGGATACTGGGCTAGACGGACCATGGGTCTGATCCAGTATGGCCATTCCTGTGGCCCTGACGTTTTTAAATGGTTAAATTCATAGAAATATGGGCCTATGAGAGACAATGGAGCTTATGCACAGAAGAATGATTTATATCTGTCGTGAAGCCACTGCTGCAATTGATACAGATTAGCACCCTTACTGGCGGGCACGTTAGAATCCCAGGATGAAATACACTTGCCGTCCCAGAGCTGATGCCGCCACATAAAGGGTTAAGGCACTTTGTCCAGACAGTACAGGAAAGCTTGCTCTGTGCCTGCCTGTGCTGGACTTATTCCGTGGCTTGACAGAGGACTTCACCAACACACCTTCACTACAGACTCTTTGCAAACAGCGTTTGTCAGCCTCCTGTCAGACTGGGAACATTTCCATGAAAATATGTCATTGTTCATCTGGTGCCTGCTAATCTGCAGCCTCTGGTTGGGTTGTTGTTACGACTGGGTAATAGTGTTCGATCTGAAACTCATCCAGTGAGCCACTCCAATCAGAAATGACTAGCCTAACTAAAATTATACACTCCTTACTCACTCCTTATTCAGGTAAAGCCCCCATTAGGCCAACACAAACGCCCAGCAACATCAGTGGACGTTGCACCCTTCAAGATTTTGGCCTCTTTCAATGGGAGTTTTGCCTAGTAAGCAGAGAGTAAGCAGAGCAGATCGGGCCCTGTGTGATCATCCTTCTTAAAAATAATTAATTCACGTTCATCTTCTTCCTTGATCACTTTATGAACTTGTGTTTCACATCTATTAAACTGCACCCTTTTTTCCATAGTGACTCAGTCTGACAAACCTTATAAAAACACTATCACATTTAATAGGGAATGAGGACCCTGCTATAGAAAGTTTAAACCAATCTATTGCAGAGATCTCATTAAATTCTATAGGCTTTTAGAGTATTTCTATTGAACCCCTCTTTATTTCTGGAGAACCCTGTTGGTTCCAGCCCTATAGAATTCTATGGGACTTTTCCATAAAGGAAATTTCCTTCGTCTCCAGCAAGATAAACTCATTCTCTCCCTGCCCCTGTGTAAAGTACCAATTGCTTTATAGGTTTCAGAGTAGCAGCCGTGTTAGTCTGTATTGGCAAAAAGAAAAGGAGGACTTGTGGCACCTTAGAGACTAACCAATTTATTTGAGCATGAGCTTTCATGAGCTACATCATTGTTTTATAGTTTGTGTTCCACCTGCCCTCTGGTGGATGGAATCAGATTTGCTGAAATGCTTGTGTAATCTCATCTGCTGAGGACTGACCTAAAGAGGATCCGATGAAGTGAGCTGTAGCTCACGAAAGCTTATGCTCAAATAAATTGGTTAGTCTCTAAGGTGCCACAAGTCCTCCTTTTCTTTTTGCGAATACAGACTAACACAGCTGCTACTCTGAAACCTAAAGAGGATGTCAGCCTTAGTGTTACTGGCCATGCTAATGGGAATTCTCCTTCAGCACAAGTGGCAGAAGCCCTGTGCTGTCTGGAGTGAAAGGTCCTGTAGTCTAACCCCATATATCATATGCGCTATTTAAGCAGAGGCTGTTTGTGGCTGTGTCTTGTACTTTATTTTAAGTTTAATCTGTCTGCTTCTCTCTTGTCCACGATCATTACCATAAATGTACATATTCCTGGCTGGAGAATATGCCAGACAAATAATAGAGTGACAGCACACACACAAAAAATTCAATCTAAAACCACAATCCAGTCCAAACAGAGCAAGCCACAAGAAAGCACACACAGAGAGAAGTGAAGGCTCTAATTTGTGCTGATAGGTTGAATGCTACTGGATGCCTCAATAGCGTCATTATTCCCTCTGCAATAGATTGCTTTAAAGCAGTGGTTCTCAACTTTTCCAGACTACTGTACCCATTTCAGGAGCCTGATTTGTCTTGCGTACCCCCGAGCTTCACCTCACTTAAAAACGACTTGCTTACAAAATCAAACATAAAAATACAAAAGTGTCACAGCACACTGTAACTGACAAACTGCTGACTTTCTCATTTTACCAAAATAATTGTAAAATAAATTGATTGGAATATAAATATTATACTTACATTTCAGTGTATAACATGTAAAACAGTATAAACAAGTCAGTGTCTGTACAAAATTTTAGTTTGTACTGACTTCGCTAGTACTTTTTATGTAGCCTGGTGTCAAGCTAGGCAAGTATCTAGATGAATTGCTGTAAACCCTAGAAGACCCCTGTGAACCCACAGGGATAGTGTACCCCTGGTTGAGAACCACTGATTTAAAAAGCTCCTTTATCTAGCCTGCCCAACACCCCATTTATATGCCTCCTGTGTGCTCCACTGAACAGCATTCTGTTCACACAATCTCTTTTAAAATGTAGCTGCAGAAAATGTTCCTGACTTTTAACTAAAACCAGTTTCTATCTTACAGTCAATGTCCCTGGGTGATTCTGCCCCCGTGTTCTCCATGAGCTCTCAAGTCTCAGGAGCACTAAACAACTTATTTGGCAAAACAGGTATGTGACAATGGCTACATGATAACAAGGACAACAGACAGGATTTTTGTGTCCTTTCAAATCCTTTTCAAATAGTGTCTCTCTCTCTAAAATGGTAGTTCCATTTTCCAGTAGCTGAAGGCAGTGGAATGACTAGATTTACAGCAGTATAACTGGGAGCTAGAGCTGGCCTATTAAGTTTGTTTAAAAATTCATTAGATTAGGTTTTTCTAAAAAACTCAGTCATCTCAAGCAGTTAGTGGCCCTCAGAGACAGAGTACGGGCTCTTGAAACCAGAGTGACTGAACTCGAGAAGTTAAGGAAACAGAGAAGTACATAGAGGAGACTTTGTGGGAGACAGTAGAACAGTCCCACCCCCAGTCTGACAGTGTCTATGCTGTTAAGGAGAATGAAATTCTTATGGAAGGAGAACATCAAGCTGCAGAAGAGAGAATTGATCCTGTAGCTGGGACCATCCTTCCAGATGAAGCCATGGTATCCTCTCACACCGAGGATACCCCTTCCGGGGAGGGGACCTCCGTTATTAGGAAGAGACAGGCAATAGTAATGGGGGATTTGATTTTAGAAATATAGGTAGTTGGGTATGTGATGACTGGGAGAATCTCATGGTGAATTGCCTGCCAGGTGTGAAGGTTGCAGTCCTCTCAACATATATAGACAGACTTATGTGCAGTGCTGGGGAGGAGCCAGTGATTGTGGAACAGGTAGGTACAAATGATATAGGGAAAGTAAGAGAAAGGTAATGGGGACAAATTTAGGCTGCTAGGTAAGAGATTAAAGTCTAGATCTTCCATGGAAACATTCTCTGAAATGCTTCCAGTTCTATGCATAAGGCCACTTAGACAGGCAGAACTGCAGGGTCTCAATTGTTTGGAGAAGGAATTTAGGTTTATTAGGAACTGGAGAACCTTTTGGGAAAGGAGGAGCCCATACAGGAATGATGGGCTCCACTCAAACCAATTGCTGGCATGTAAAATTAAAAAGGTCATAGAGAAGTTTTTACAGTAAGGCCTGAGGGAAAGCCGACAGGTGCAGAGAAGCACATGGTTCAGACAGACACATCCCTTAGGGGAGGATTTATTAAAGGGGATGCTCTATATCCTAGATAAGAGGAGAGGATAGAAGTTGATAAAATACAGGTAGAAACTGAAGAGAAACAGTCAAATGAAAAACAGTCTCATTCAATTACATCACATGAAGCCCGACAACTAACTACTGCTAAATTTTATAAGTGCTTGTGTACATATGCAAGAAGTCTAAATACTAAGATGAGTAAACTTGAGTGCCTGGTATTAAATGAGGATATTGATATAAACAGGCATCACAGAAACTTGGAGGAATGATGATAATCAATGGGATATGGTAATACCAAGGTACAAAATATTTAGGAATGACAGAGTAGGTTGCACTGCTGGGGGAGTGGCACTATATGTGAAAAAACAGAGTCAAACATAGTAAAAATTTTAAATGAACCAAACAGTACCATAGAATCTCTATGGATAGAAATTCCATTCTTGAATAATAAGAGTATAGCAGTAGGAATGTACTACCAACCACCTAACCAGGATGGTGATAGTGATTGTGAAGTGCTCAGGGAGATTAGAGAGGCTACAAAAACAGAAAACCCAATAATATTGAGGATTTCAACTATTCCCATTTGTCTGTGTGTAACCGTGCCTTAGTGGATCATAACTGAGAAAGCCAAATTCAGGGCAAACTTCTGAGGAATAGGGCAAACACAACCCAGAACTGGTGGCTATTCTTTTATAAGATATGCCAAACCAGCCACAAAATTAAACTCCTATTTCACCACACTGGCTAACAAGAAAACATAAAGGCAGTTTCCTCAGGCAGTCCAGTTCTTATATCACCACTAGAAACACTGGATTCAGAGATGAGTGGGTCTTTTCAACCAGTCTCATCAAATAATAGGTTCTTCTGATCCCAAAGGATCAGCCACACACCCAGGTCAATATATAACTTAGATTGTCCCGAAAATCACGTTTGTGCCAATCCTTTAGTATCTAAAATCTGAAGGTTTATTCATAAAAAGAAAGAAAGAAAGATGAGAGTTAAAATTGGTTAAAGGAATCAATTACATACAGTAATGGCAAAGTTCTTGGTTTAGGCTTATAAAAGTGATGGAATAAACTGCTGGCTTAAGTCAAGCCTCTGGAATACATCCACAGCTTGGATGGGTCATTCAGTCCATTGTTCAGAGTTTCAGTTTGTAGCAAAATTCCTCTAGAGGTCAGAAGCAGTATTGAAGACAAAATGGAGGTGTTTCCAGGGCCTTTTATGGCTTTTGCCCTGTGAAGGGCATCCCGTTGTTCTTACTGTGAAAAATTACAACAACAAGATGGAGTTCGGAGTCACATGGGCAAGTCACATGTTCATGCATTTCGCCTAGTCACAGCAGGGAATTCCATTACCTGTAGAAAGGCGTCTTCCATGGTCATTGTCAGTTAAAGGTTTTTGCATCTGATGAAGTGAGCTGTAGCTCACGAAAGCTTATGCTCAAATAAATTTGTTAGTCTCTAAGGTGCCACAAGTACTCCTTTGCTTTTTGCGAATACAGACTAACACGGCTGCTACTCTGAAACCTGTCAATTTGAATAGTTCCTCCAAGAATTGCTGGCTAATTACTTCATGGGTGTTACCCAAGGGGCAAATATTTGAAATCCAAGTATAGAGCCAATACTTATAACTTCACATACAAAAATGATGCGTGCATACAGATAGCATAATCATAACCAGCAAATCAGAACCTTTTCATAGTCACCTTACTTGACAAACTTTGTACAATAGTTACTGCAAATATATAACGGTGGTTGCAACAATGATCTATATGGTCATTGTAATCAGATAATGTCACACTGTGTGTGTTACCTCAGGATGGGATGCAGAGATAAAATTTCTAGACACCGTTAATGACTGCTTCTTCAAGCATCTATTCCAGGAACACACAAGGGGAGAGGCAATTCTTGATTTAGTCCTACATGACTCACAGTATCTGATCCAAGAGGTGAATGTAGCTGAACTGTTTGGTAATATCAACCCTAATGTCATTAAATTTAACCTCCTTATAGGAGGGAAATACCAAAGAAAACCACCACAGTAGTATCTTACTTCAAAAAGGGGAATTACACAAAAACGAGGAGGTTAGTTAAACAGATATTAAAAGGAACAGTTGCAAGAGTGAAATACCTGCAAGCTGCATGGAAACTTTTAAAAAACACCATAATAGAGACTTAAATTAAATGTATTACCCCAAATAAAAAAACAAACAGTAAGAGTACCAAAAAATGTCACCATGGGTAAACAAGAGAGTAAAAGAGGTGGTTAGAGACAAAAAGTCATCCTTTAAAAAAGTTGGAAGTCAAACCCTACTGAAGAAACTGGAAAGGAGCATAAACTCCGGCAAGTCAAGTGTAAAAATATAATTAGGTAGACCAAAAAACAATTTGAGAGCAACAAGCAAAAGACACGAACACTAACCGCAAGAATTTTTTTAAGTACATGATAACAGCCTGCCAAACGGTCAATACAGCCACTGGATAATCGAAGTGCTAAAAGAGCACTCAAGGAAGACAAGGCCATTGCAGAGAAGTTAAATGAATTCTTTGCATCGGTCTTCACTGCAGAGGATGTGAGGGAGATTCCCACACCTAAACCATTCTTTTTAGGTGACAAATCTGAGGAACTGTGCCAGATTCAGGTGTCAATACAGGAACAAACTGATAAATTAAACAGTAATAATTCACCAGGACTAGATGGTATTCACCCAAGAGTTCTGAAGGAACTCTAATCTGAAATTGCAGAACTACTAATTGTGGTATGTAACCTATTGCTTAAATCAGCCTCTGCAACAGATGATGGTGGATAGCTAATGTGACATTGAATTTTTAAAAAAGGTGATCCTGGCAATTACAGGCCAGTAAGCCTAACTTCAGTACCAGGCAAATGGGTTGAAACTATAGTTAAGAACAGAATTATCAGACATAGATGAATACGATATGTTGGGGAAAAGTCAACACAACTTTTGTAAAGGGAATCATGCCTCACCGATCTATTACAATTCTTTTGCGGGTCAACAAAAGTGGACATGGATGATCCAGTGGACAGAGAGTTCTTGGACTTTGAGAAACCCTTTGACAAGGTCCCTCACCAAAGGCTCTTAAGCAAAGTAAGCAATCATGGGATAAAAGGGAAGGTCCTCTCATGGATCAGTAACTGATTAAAAGACAGGAAACAAAGAGTAGGAATAAATCGTTAGTTTTCACAGTGGAGATAGGTAAATAACAGGGCCCCCCAAAGATCTGTACTGGAACCAGTGCTGTTCAACATATTCATAAATGATCTGGAAAAAGGGCTAAACACTGAGGTGGCAAAGTTTGTAGATGACACAAAATCATCGACAGGATATGGGGCTAGATGGACCATTGGTCTGACCCAGCATGGCCATTTTTATGCTCATGACATGGCACAATTAGTATAGTTCTGAACTACACTGTACCACCTAGGAGTGAGAAGATCTGAGCTGTTGCTTGAAAGCAGCACCTGTTGGCACAGGGTAGCTGTTTTACTAAGGCTAACTTATTAATTGATACTTAGGGAGGTATCATTCTAAATTAAACTCAGAATAAATTGGTCCCTATAGCTGTGGTCTTTTTAATCCAACTATAGCTCAGAGGAGATGAGAAAAGGTTTGGGCTGAAAGCAGCAAATGAGGGATCTTAATAGATAGAAAACAATTATGCTTTAAAAGTGTCTTTTTAACCACATATTGGGGCAAAATCTAGTGCCAGAACCTACTGAAGCCAAAAAGATTGCATCAGGACAACCGAACAGAATTTGTCCGATATTTTTAAAAAGCCAGGCCGCGATTTTCCCAAATGGGTGTTTAAAGTCATACTCCCACATTCGTATTCAGGCCCCTCAATAAGTAGCCTGATTGCTTTCTATGGGAGCTGCTGGGTGCTCAGCACGTTGAAAATCGAGTCACTTCTTTAGCTACCTAAGTATTCATATATTTTAAGGCCAGACGGGACAATTAGATCATCTAGACCTACCTGAATATGAATGTACGAGTTTATCGTTGAGCACGGACTTTAGAATCCAGGCCTCAGTTGGTTTGCAGAGGCATAACGGAGAACAGAATTTACATCAGCATCTGGAACTCTGTAATGGAAGTCAGGGGTCACTGTCAAACAATCTAATCTAATGCAAGTCAACATAATCTATATGTGTTAGCATGTGATACAAATCACAAGTCATGTTGTTTTTGTGGTCCGTGATGTAGCCACAGTCCAGACGGAATCAACCAGTTCAAGGCTATTGTGTGTTCAGCTCCAAAACATGTTTTTTTTCTTTTCAGGAAAATACAAAATTTCTTCCACAGAAACAACAGGTTCATTTAGTGAGCCCACCTCCAACACATATTCTCTGCTTCACTGATGTGTTGCAAATGTTGAACCAAGAATGTGAGAAAGGACCTGCGTCTTTTTGCAAGCCATACATCAAAAGAATGAAAAAATACTCTGAATCATAGAGAAGTGGATATCACCCAGATTGCACTGTGCCTTGGCGTGTTTTTTAACAAGCATCCCTTCTATTTAACATGTATGGAAAGTTCATGATGTGGAATGTTAAAGAGACCACTAATGCTAAAAGAAATTTAAAAATATTCCACATAGGGTCCAATCCTATGATGGGCTCCCCCTAATCTCAGTGACAGTTGAAGGCGGTCAGCATCAACGAGGAGGTGCTTGGCACTGTACAGGATTGAGCCATGAGACTACACTAAACTTCACATGGTCTTAATAGTTTCGCTTTGCCAATTTTCTGAATGATGCCAAATGCATGCATATATACATCCAAGCCCTCTCTCTCTTACTTGCTCGTGTAGGGGTGTCAAGGTTCCTCCCCCACTCTGAACTCTAGGGTACAGATGTGGGGACCTGCATGAAAAACCTCCTAAGCTTATCTTTACCAGCTTAGGTCAAAACTTCCCCAAGGTACAAAATATTCCACCCGTTATCCTTGGACTGGCCGCTACCACCACCAAACTAATACTGGTTACTGGGGAAGAGCTGTTTGGACGCGTCCTTCCCCCCAAAATACTTCCCAAAACCTTGCACCCCACTTCCTGGACAAGGTTTGGTAAAAAGCCTCACCAATTTGCCTAGGTGACTACAGACCCAGACCCTTGGATCTTAAGAACAATGAACAATCCTCCCAACACTTGCACCCCCCCCTTTCCTGGGAAATGTTGGATAAAAAGCCTCACCAATTTGCATAGGTGACCACAGACCCGAACCCTTGGATCTGAGAACAATGAAAAAGCATTCAGTTTTTTACAAGAAGACTTTTAATAAAAAATAGAAGTAAATAGAAATAAAGAAATCCCCCCTGTAAAATCAGGATGGTAGATATCTTACAGGGTAATTAGATTCAAAAACATAGAGAACCCCTCTAGGCAAAACCTTAAGTTACAAAAAGATACACAGACAGAAATAGTTATTCTATTCAGCACAATTCTTTTCTCAGCCATTTAAAGAAATCATAATCTAACACATACCTAGCTAGATTACTTACTAAAAGTTCTAAGATTCCATTCCTGGTCTATCCCCGGCAAAGACCCAGCATACAGACAGACACAGACCCTTTGTTTCTCTCCCTCCTCCCAGCTTTTGAAAGTATCTTGTCTCCTCATTGGTCATTTTGGTCAGGTGCCAGCGAGGTTACCTTTAGCTTCTTAACTCTTTACAGGTGAGAGGAGCTTTCCCCTGGCCAGGAGGGATTTCAAAGGGGTTTACCCTTCCCTTTATATTTATGACAAGGGGGCAGATGGTTTAGTAGTTTACATTTCTTGCTTGAGCTATCTAGACTTCCTGGAATGACAGGTTCAAACCCCAGATGGGTTAGCTCAGAGTGCTGACCTTCTGAGACCTGGAGTACCCTGATGATTACTACAGGGAGGTCTGTCAGATGTGACTTAACAACCTAAGTGTTTCTTGCTCTGGTTTAACACTGAAGGGCCTCTATGGGACTTTTGTAAGAACATGATGGCTTACCTTGTATCCTTAGCTAAAATTCCCCCTTTCTCACTGGTATATTATGTATTAGAGATGGTTGGTTGCTGCACTCCACCCTACAGGTGGCTGCATTCCTGTGGTTTATGTATATAAGGTCCCATCATGTAAGCGCTCAGAGATCTTCCATTGACAACAATGGTAGGCCCAAACTCGGAGGGCTTGCAGGATCAGTACTACCGTCAAACACTTTGAGTGCCAGGCAGGATGAAAGGTTTGTAAATTATTATTACAGTGCTGAATTTGTAGCTTCACAATTGTTTCCAGGGCTGCAGATTTTGATGTCTTAAGCACAGGATTATGAGAGTTGCCTGCAAAACAGTCATGGCCAAAGACAACATTGTTTGCAATCAAAGGAACTCTTCATGCAAAATTTGGCATAAGGTATTTCACAAATTCACCCAGTTCTGGATTAGGGGCCAGATTCACCACCATTATCAATGGGTGCAACTCCATTTGGCCTCAGTGGAATTAGGCCCACGTGTGCATGGGGCAAATTTGGTCCTGTGACTGCACTGTAGGATGAAACCTGTGTTGTGGGGAGAGAGATGTCACTGTTACAAGGGTGTGGGATGGTAGCAGAAGGGAAATAGAGAAGTATTGGTCAAGCAAATTCTTTATACCGCCAGCAATTTATTTTTGCTTTAAAGTCTCCTCCAGTGTGAAAGTTCTTCTTTGAAATGACCTCCTTATTCTCAGAGCTTAGGATAGGTGTGAGATATTGTAAATGGGTTGTAGCTTCAATGGCTAACAGGAAATGGATCCTGCAGTAATGAGAGCACTGTGGTGTGCTTGCCGAATGACTCCGGCCTCAGAATGAGGACAAAGATCCTACTTCAGAGGAGTCCATCCCTATGCTGCTAAAGCACAAAGCATGTGCTTCATTTCAGGGGCTTTCTTCAGTCTCATTGATATCAAAGTGTTTCAGGACTTTGCTGAGCAGGGACAGATTTAAATACGTGCTTAAGTGCTTTGCTGAAAAGGGACCTAATGGGGAATACGTAACAAGCACATCCCCAGTGTTAGGGGGCTTTTTCCTTCACCCACTTACTTCCCTGGTCCTTCTCGCATGAACAGAGAGCAACAATACCCGAAGTCCAAAGGTGCAAACAATTTGATGTTTATTGGGGTGAACTTCCAGCAAGCATGATTCCAGTTTCCTTCCTTAGTGTCCCCCTTCCCAACGCAGAGCCTTACCTATGTCCCTGTTCCCATTCCCCCCCCTTAGCAAAACATGATTCCAATTTCCCCACCCCCATTCCCTGTTCCCATTTCCCCCCCCTTACTTCCTGATTGACTGCAGACTATATAGTAAAACTTGAGTTCTGCTTAGCTATACCTTAACCAATCATTTTCCTGAAATTTAACTAACCAATCCTAACATATTGTAACATGATTAGCTAACCAATTATATCCCACCACCTTAAATAGTTTACACCCAGCAAAATTAATTATACAGCAGACAGAAACAATCACAGAACCAGACAGAGACCATGCAAATAAACAACAGCAAAGTGGGAATTATAATGACAAAACAATACAGAAGTGAGGATTTCACATCCCAGCTATTGATAAGTGAGTTCTTGCCAGACAGGATGCTATCAAACTAAGTTTCCTTTTACATCTTCTAGGCTCTTCCCTTTCTCTGGAGGTGATAGGCAGTATCAGGACAGGATTGTAGTCCTAGCAGCCCAATAGCACCTGATTTCAATGTGACTAGTTTGAAATGTGAGGATGTGACTGGTCGCTTCCCAGCTTAGGGCTGCCTCTGCTGCTTAGCCTAAGAACAGGGCCTCAGTCTGTCACAGTAAGAGAAGGCCCTTACACCGGCAGACAGTGATTTTGATTCTTTCTTTTATACCTCTATAACTAGCTAAGTGATAAGAATACCCCTAAATTCTTAGAGTATAGGCCTTTACAGACAGGCCCGACAATCTATATCCTAACACCCAGCACAAGGATGTGCGATAAGACTGCAGTCAAAATTCTCAGCCCCGCCTAAGTTCCCTAAAGCTGTCTCAAACGGGCAGCTGAGCACTTCCCCTATGCAAGAGCAGTGCCAAGGTGTGGTCCTAGTGAAAGCATCAACCCTGCCCTGTGGTGCTAAATTTTTGACACTGAACGGCTGTCAATAACCACATCCACCTCGAGATGTGCCCCTCGCCAGTTCCCCCGCAGCCTCTCTGCAAGGTGGATTGTGTAATACGGGTTTTCTGTCCACTGGGAATGGGACTTTATAGCAGATCCCGATGCCCTCATCAATCTGAGTGTGCAAGAGCAGCTGCATGTGCCTGGTTAAGCATGGGATCAAAATGCTTTTTCACTGATTAATGGTCCAGGACCTTTGGGAAGGTGGAGTGGAGGGAACAATTCTGATTTGCACTACATGGCTGTGCAAGGGAGAAAGGGGTCGTGAGAACTCCCTTTGGCCTGCACATGGGCTGATTGCAGTCTGGGTCCAAATGCATAAGAGCAAGCAGTATTATACTCTCCCTCCTTTTCTGGAGCAGGTGGCCTCGAATGCTCAGAGCCTTGGTTCTACCGCTCCAACTTGCTGGCCACAGTAGCAGAGCCAGCACACGAAGGGTGGCAAAGGAGGGAATTGTGACTCAGAGGGGTATCCTTTGTGTTCCCCAGTGCTACCTGCGTATGCCTAAAGTGCAGATTTAGCCTATATCTGTAAAATGCTTTGAGATCCTCCAAAGGCGCTACATCACATATGATAAATGTAAGCCTTATAACTGTGATTGCTGACATTTCCCTACATAGAATTGACTTGCAGAATTAGTAATTGCTCAACAATTCTGGAGTTTATACACTGTAAAATTCACATTTCATTTCTGTGAACTACGAAAACTGTTGTGCCATGATTTTTTCATGACTCTGTCATGTGCTAGCCATCACAGCTTAGAGTAGGCTTGTTACATTGCCCCAAGGAAGATACATTTATGCAACAGCTGCATTTTAGAAAGGTAAGTTTGTCAAGAAAAATAAACCCCATGTTTAACAGTCACACAGTCTCTTAAGGATTGACATAAGCTAACGGGTTATCTAAACAACATTATCTAACATCTGTCTGGATAATCCAGTCTTCTTTCCCTAGATGGGGATTCGGAATTCAAAAACGTACAATAAAGTGTATTCAAAATCTAGGGGAATTTCCCTTAACCACTTCCCATTCTATTGCTTAAAAGATTTTTCTTTGGGGCAAATTCTGATAATTTCTATGCAGCTTCTTTCAGTGTTATTTTACAACCCTTCCTTTTTAGAAGAAGTGATTGTTAATGTCTTCCATTTGTAGGATAACATCTATAGTACTTTACAAATGAAAGCACTTTATTTTTGTACTATGATTTTCTTCCTAATACAGTAACTCCTCACTTAAAGTCGTCCCGGTTAACATTGTTTCGTTGTTATGTTGCTGATCAATTAGGGAACGTGCTTGTTTAAAGTTGCACAATGCTCCCTTTTAACGTCATTTGGCAGCCGCCTGCTTTGTCCACTGCTTACAGAAAGAGCAGCCGGTTGGAGCTAGCTGGTGGGGCTTGGAACCAGGGTGGACTGGCAGCCCCCCTATCAGCTCCCCACCCAGCAGGCTATTAATTGCCGGGCAGTTCAGCTGTCCCTGCCCCCCACTGCCATGTGCTGCTCCTGCCCTCTGCCTTGGAGCTGCTCCCCGGAGCCTCCTGCTTTCTTGCAGAGTGAGGATGAAGAGGGATGCTAATGTCAGGGTGGCCCCCCTTCCCCCACTCCTGTACCCCCATCTTCTGTACCGTATCTCCCCTGGGGGGCGGGGAGGGGACACGACTCTACCGGGCTCAGGACGGAGGGTGCTTGCTGGCAGCAGCTGCTGTCTCAATTTGATAATCTACTTAAAAAGGCAATGTACTTAGATTGGGGTCAGCATACTTAAAGGGGCAATGCGCGTCTCTGTCTCTCTCTGCCATGCTGTCTCCCCTCCCTCCATTCGTGCTGCCTTAGAATCATAGAATCATAGAATATCAGGGTTGGAAGGGACCTCAGGAGGTCATCTAGTCCAACCCCCTGCTCAAAAGCAGGACCAATCCCCAATTAAATCATCCCAGCCAGGGCTTTGTCAAGCCTGACCTTAAAAACTTCTAAGGAAGGAGATTCCACCACCTCCCTAGGCAACGCATTGTAGAGTGTGAGGCTACATTAACAACATGTT